GGCTTCCAGAGCTCGTTCCATCTCGGCTCAAGGACGGCTGCACCCTTGGCCAAGGAAATCAAGCCAGAGACGGACGGCAGGCACGGAGGAGCAGGCTGAGCGGGTTCCAGGCCGGCATCCTCCGGGGCCAGAGCCCTGCCCAAGGCGCCAGCGTTGCAGCCGGGAGCTGCTCCGGACAATGTCCCCAAGCCCGCACCAGGCCTGGGGCTAGTATGGGCCCTGCCAGGCCCTGAGGGCTGTGCTCCTATGTGCTGCAGAGCGGGGGCTGATCGAGAGGGACAAGCACCCTTGGCTTGCTCCGGGTCATTCAGGGCCGGGTGGGTGCGTAAGCCCAGTGAGTTCCCGGGGGCCATGCACCCGCGCTCCCAGACCCGAGCCGGATGCAGCGAGGGAGCTGAGAAGGGCACTCTGCAGCTCTGCCAGGTGGGTGGGAGCAGGGCCAGGGCCAAGCACAGGCCCCTGGAGCCAAGGCCGCTGCAGATGCCTCTGCTCCACTCTCAGATCCCGGGATGCCTGGCTCGTGAGTCATGATAATTGCAGGGATGGGGGGGGAGGGAGAGCACAGCCTCAGCCGCTCCTTGGCGGGTCCCGTCCCCCCACCTTCTCCCCTCCCCAGCTACCTGGCCCAGCAGGTGCCCTCCCCCGTGTCCGCAGCCGCGAGGGGAGCCCAGGCACTGGGACGATGCCTGTGCTGCCCTGGGCTGCATGCTGGGCCAGGAGTGCTGGGCTGTGCACACGCGTGTGCGAGCGTGTGTGCACCCACAAGCCCCTGGCATCGCGGTAGGGCCTGCGGGGGTCGTGCAGCAGCCGGGCCCTTCCTGCGGCGCCTGGGACCGGCCCAGCGGGCTGCAAGGCCCCGGCCAGGAAATTCCCACGGAGCCGAGGCAGCTCCTTTCCCAGGACATTGTGGGGACGTTGCGGAGGAGGCGCGTTTGCACGCAGCTACCCTGCCCACATGCCCCCGGGCATGGAGGCATTTGCACGTGTGTGCGCTCCTGCTCGGGGGCTTTTGTTTTTTCCGGTCCGGGCTGGCCGTGCTCCAGCGGCACGCAAGGACGTTTGGCAGCTGCTTCAGCCGGCTCAGAGTGGGGCAGAATGGGGCAGCCTCCCGTCGCGCCCCGGGGCAGTGGGGGGACGCCAGCGCCCTGACACCCCCAGGGCGAGGATGTGACAGCGCGGCACGGAGCCAGGCCCACGCAGCCGCCCCCACCCACGGCACTGCCCGGTCCCCACCAGCCACGGGACCACGCAGCCCTGCCCGCTGCACCAGGCGATGGTACGGGCGCTCGGAGCGCACGCCTGCTGGGTCCTGGGCGTGGACGGCGTGCAGCAGATGAGCAGGGGTGGGCACAGCCGTGGCAGGGGATCGGTGCCCACTCCCCAGGGGTGCCCGCGGCCAGGCAGCCTCCGCCCCGTACCACCTTGCTGCGGGGACCAGAGCAGCCGTGCACGGAGCCCCCTGCCCCGTACCTCTGCGCCCGGTCGCACACCTGCTCCCCGGTCACGCTCTCCTGCTTCGGCTCCCCTCTAGAGCATCCTCTGCAGACGGGGCCCCGGCCTGGCCCCCCGCCCTGTGCTCGCCTGCACGCCTGTACTTGGCCCGTGCGGGAGCGCGCTCTGCGCGAGGCTGAGAGGAGAGGGAAGAAAAAGGCCGAGCGCAGAGTCCTCCCCGGCCAGATGTGAGCCCAGGCGTGGCAGCGTCCCCCGAGCGCACCCGGCGCCCGCAGCCCCGCGCGGGGAAGTGGCTCCAGATGTCGGGCGCGGAGCCAAGGGGGAGGGAGCAGCGTTTGGCCGGCTGCGAGGCGCTGGGGCTGGGCACAGGGGCCAGGCCCGCAGCAGTGGGGGGAGCAGGCGGCATCCCTGCACCCCGGGCAGCCTCTCCCTGGGGTTGCCCCTGTCCCCAGCCCGGGGGCTGCGCCCTGCTGCTGCCCCCGGCGCCCCGCTCCCCTGGGGCAGGTCGGGGCAGGGCGACCCCAAGTAGGGCTGGGCCCTGGGGGCAGGAGGGGTCAGCCCAGGCCACTGCCTGCCCATGCCGCCTCCAGGGGGCGCACACCCCAGCAGGGGGCATGCTGGGAATTGTAGTCCCTAGCGCGTGGTGGGCTGGGAGTTGTAGTACCCGGCACAAAGCATTTAGGGGATTGTAGTTTTATCCCACGCGTGGTGTGCTGGGAACTGTAGTCCCCTGTGCGAAGCATCTTGGGAGGTGTCGTTTCAGACATAGGGCGTGCTGGGAGCTGTAGTTCTGGGCGCGGGGCGTGCTGGGAGCTGTAGTTCTGGGCGCGAAGCATGCTGGGAGTTGTAGTTGCTGGTGCGGGGCGTGCTGGGAGCTGTGTTTCCCAGCTAGAAACACGTTGGGAGGTGTCGCTCCCACGCGCGGGGCGTGCTGGGAGCCGTAGTTCCCCGCGCGGGGCGTGCTGGGAGCTGTGGTTCGCGGCGCGCGGCATGCCGGGAGCGGTAGTTCCGGGGCGGAGCCGGGGCGCCCCGCGGAG